CTCATCCCCTGCTCACGGTGCCTCATCCCCTTCTTCCTCCCCCCGAATCCATATCACCGTGTTGGGTGGGGGCCCCGGTGGCCCAGTGGGGTCTGACCAGTGGTCCAGAAGGAGCAGTGGCTCTGTGAGCGCTGTGCTGAGCGTGGCTGGCACACCGGGGGGTGTGCCCGCCCTTCGGGCTCCCATCCAGCTCCCCATAACCTGCCTTTCCCGCCCGGGTTCCAGATCAAATCCCAACAGAGCGAAGTAACCCGAATCCTCGATGGGAAAAACATCAAGTACGAGCTGGTGGATATCTCCCAGGACAACGCTCTCCGGGAGGAGATGAGGGCGAAGGCAGGCAACCCCAAAGCCATCCCGCCCCAGATCGTCAACGGGGACCACTACTGCGGGGTAAGACTTGGGGATAAGCACTGTGGAGAGTGGGCGGTGGGCAGTAATCCTATCCCTTTGGTTTTGCTACAAATGAGGTCAAGATGCCTTTTAAAAGGTGTTTCTTGTGATGTGCACGGACGAGGCGCTGCCAGGGTCAATGGGCATTTGGAGCACGGTGGCTTGTGGAAAATGAGACCCAGGCAGGGAGACTCTGAGGGACCACGGGCAGCGGGGCTGTGCTGTGCAGGTCCATCCCCACTTCATCCTCTGTGTGGTTGTCACCGTGTTGTGACCCAGGGTGTGTTGTGTGTGCCTGACCATTGGGAGTGTGCGGCTCACTCTTGCCATGTGAGCAACCGTGTGGCTTTTCCCTGCAGGACTACGAGCTCTTTGTGGAAGCGGTGGAGCAAAACACCCTGCAGGAGTTCCTGAAGCTGGCCTGAGCCCTGGGCTCCCTTCCTGTCCTGGACTCTACCTGCATTCCTGAGCACCCTCATCTCCGACCACCTTCACTTCCAGGTTGTCAGCGCTGTCCTGGCACAGGAAAACCCATGACCAAAACTACTCATTGCAGCTGCCTCCGATTCCCTCCTGCCTAACCCTGATAATCATCTCAGAGGGATCCAAAGAAAGTCTGACGCTCGCTGCGCATGGCCTCTGAACAAAGCTGGGCCTGGCTCACACCGCAGCTTCCAGTGCCTCTGTAAACAGCAAAGCCTCTGGGGTTGTGTGAAGTGCAGCCGCCCGTCAGCCCTCTCCTCTGCAGGGAGAGCTTCTGCTCTAGGAGGGAAGGGCTTAGGGTTGCATGTTACTTCCTACTTCTCCCAGTTGCTGTTAAAATTGTAAATCCTGCTGCCTCACTTCCTCTTCCTTTCTTTTTTTTTAATCTCGACTGCAGAGATAATGGCACCTAAGTTGATTTTTGTTTGTTTTAATTTAATGCAAAAATACTGCACAAAGCTGGGGTCTGACCACCCACCGCTGAGAAGGCTGGGGGCAAAGGCTGTGTCACTGGGCGGCTGCCTGGGGGGATGGATGGGCCGGGAAGTGGGACCCACACTGCTCCGTCTGCCCTGCGCTGCGGTGCCGGGGCTCCCTTGTGAGTGTTAAAGGCTCAGGGCTGCCCCAGAGCAGCTGATGCTCCAGCTCTCTCATCTTTCCTCTTTGAGTTGGCTTTTTTTTGCAACCCGGACCAAGTGCATTTTATTTTCCTGCCAAAAAGCGAGTTTATAACCAGTGTTGTCTTCCGAGATGCTATTAAATGTTACTGTACCTTTCACGTCGGTACTCGTGGGTTTCTTTTAAATTTGATTTTATTTTGACTACAGGTTAACGTCACCCTACGTAACGATTCTGAGTCATTTCCGGCTCAGAGAAGCTGAGTCAGTTGTACTCGCTGCTGCAGCCTGACACACAGATCTTAACACCTTAGATTGCTGCTGCAGGACTTGCCTGAATATCCCAGAGCGTGGTAGTGACAGGTACCTCTCTGGAGCACTCCTCTCTGCGTGGTAAGAACGGCAGCCCAGGGAGGGCCAGCTTCAGCCAGACACGTGAGCAAAAACAAACCCTGGCACCAAGATTACCTGGATTGGGATATTGAGGGTCAGAGGAAAAGGCTGCCCTATGAGAGGGTCCCCTGTACACTCCTGTATCTGCTGTAGAAGGAAAAAAGGAGGAAACTGAGTGAGAGCTGCGGGGACTGAGTCACTGGTTGGGGGGAGCCTGTGGAAGTGGCTGGTTTGAGTGGTGCTTCCTGCATTGGAGTTGTGCAGGGTCCAGCTCTGGGCATCCTGCCCCTTCCACGGCAACTGCGCCTTTCACATCTTAATGGAAGTGGAAACTGCCACTTAAATGGTTTTATTGGGAGCCTTTAATGAGGGCTGGGCCCCTGCTAAAAGGGAACCTGCCAGAAGGTGCTGCCTTGCACAAGTGGGAGTGCTGTGAGCTGGAGTCAAGTGGGAGCTTGTCACAGCTCAAACAGGAAGAATGTGCTGGAGAAAGGGGCCGCAAAGCGTGGATCCAGCCCATGGGAGAGGGAGGAAGATGCTTTATGGAGGGTTCAGTGGAGAAGCACCGAAGGGATTATGCTCTTCTCCAATGACACGGTGTCCTGTTGCAGCATCCAGCTCCCCGTCGAGGGAGGGAGGAGGGCTGGCAGCTTGGGGCTGTGAGCCTGGGCCCCGCTGGTGCTGGGGGCTGTCCAAGGGCAGGGGTTGTTCATGTATAGGAAACCCAGTAGCAGGAGCTCCAGGCTGAGATGGGTCTGGCTCAGTCCCAGCATTGCGATGGCTCAGGGCCTTTTGGTTTAGCTTCACTGGGGACCATAAACTGAGCTTGTTTCTCTTGTGGAGTAAGTGCAGTTGAAATCTATGGGGAAAAGCAAACTGACCCTGGCTGTTTGTCCTGCTGCTACAGAGAATCCCAGAGCCCAGCTGACAACTGCTTGGTACCAGTGTAAAGCTGGTGGCCACCCCTGGGCAGGGAGCAGCCCGTGTAACCTTCAGCAGAGGTGAGAAACCAGGCCTTGGGTCTGAGCTGACAGAAAATGCCCGCGTGTCAGGAGCCCACCTGTCCTGGGGAAAAGCATCTGCCTGGGCCTGGCACCCTCTGCTGAAGGGAGAGGCCAAACCGCTGCCTCCCAGCTCTTCTTTCCAACCCTGGTAATGGTGCAGTGAAACTAAATCTGGAAAGACAACCCCTTGCTATCTTCCCAGTCTGGGGAGGTTGTAACACAGCTCACGGTGCAAGGCAGCTCATTCCTCCTGCAGAGCTTGGGGGGAGCAGCTCTTAAGGAGCTGTTAAGCTGTTTGCAGCCCTGTCCCCTCTCCCTGGGAGGGGTCTCTTCTCCGCAGCAGCAAGGAGGCATTGGGGATCAGGCCACATTCCTGCAGGCTCCTGGCGTTGTCCACGTACACTCTCTGGGGAAAGGTACTGATGATCTCATACGAGTCGGAGTCTCCACCCCTAGGAAAAAACAGCACAGTCTTTCCTATGCACAGGATCCCCAAGGTTTTGCTGAGATGCTGTGGCCGATCCAGCTGTGGTTGTGTAAGAGCAGAGGGAGAGACTGTTTCACAAGCACGGGCTGAGCAGAAAAAAGGGCTCCCTGCCCAAACTGCGAACAGCCAGGCACAGAGCAGCTGATCCAGGCTGCACAGCTGCTGTGGGGAAGGAAGCTCCTGCATCCCCACAGCAGTGAGCTCATCGTGGCCAGAGCTATGGCCCACAACAGAAGTGGGACATCTCTGGTGTAAGGAGGAGCTAAAGGGTTCCCAGCAGCTCCTGGGGCTGGGACTGTCACCCCCAGCCCTGCTCAGCTCAGGCTGCAGCACAGAGCTCCAGGGCCTTTCAGCAGGCAAAAACCTTCCCTGGGGCTTGTTGGAGCTGGGTAGGGAATGAGGGGAGGAAGCCCTAGGCCTACCTGATACGGGCAAGGTGTTGGCGCAGGTCCCCTATGGTCTCTGTGAACAGCATCTTTACGATGTACGTCTGCTCCCCGCTCTCAGATTTGATGCGGAGAGTGCAGACATCAGGGGCAGAAGCTTCAGCCTCTTCTGCTGTCTTCACCCTGGAGGTTAGAAAACCTCATCAGCTGAGGAGTGAGGGCCCTGGGCTGCCAGGGAGGTGTTTCATGTTTGGGAATGTCCTTGAGATGAACAAGACCCCATCTGACTGTGGGTGAGCAGACCGACCCATGGACCAAACTAGTGCTTTGCTTTCCCTGCTTAAATGGTGCCTTGGAAAGAAGGTTCTGACCTTTTTTAGCTTTTTCATTTTAGATCAGGGCTGTCTGGTAAGTACTTTGCCCTACTTTTTTGATTAAAAATAATCTGCTTGGGGTTTTGTTCATTATCTATTTGGGTCTTGTCTTGCCAGAAGACTCTGAGTGGAAAAGTGTTAGTGTGACCTCCCGCATGGGGCTCAGTTTCCTGGAGGGATTCTTCCATTTAACATGACCACAGACAGTTTTTTAGATGGCTTCAAATTCTTAGGCCTTGGTTTGTTAAAAAAAAAGGGAAAAGTATTTCACAGCAATAAGTAAGTAAGCTTTTGTTAGAGATGTAAAAGATGGGAGATTCACCATGAACAATTCAGTGGTCTTCCCAAAAGACCAAACCTGGTCTTTTTTTTCCCCCCTAATAATTTCTAAGGTATAAGATAAAAGGGCAAGTCCATTTACTTCCTTAACTGAAAACCACTGAAATAACCCCACAGTGGTGAAACAGGAGGAAGATGAGAGCCTGACAGAGCAGAGATGGAGGTGCTGTGCCTGTACCTTTCCAGGGCAGACAGCCCGGGTGGCTCCACCAGGATCTCTTTGCTGCTCCGTGCCCCATCAGAGCCCTGAAACCGAACCAGGTGAGCATCACCACTGCCCGCTCTGCCACAGAGCAGCCAGGGCCAGGAAAGCTGGGGAGCAGGTGCCAAAGTGCCACGTGTGCTCTGGTGGGGCCTCTCTGGGAGGAGGACGTTGTGCAGAGCCCAGAGAGGCCCAGGGAGCGGGTGTTGGTGCTGGGCAGGGCGCTGAGCCCAGAGAATTCACTGCTGGCCTGGTGCTGTGGGTGTCTGGGGGGTCTGTTCCTACCTGTTGTGCTGCTCTGGCTGAACCTTGGGCACCAATCGCTTCTCCTTTGTGTTTGGAGGGCTTGGAGAGCTTGTGAAGAAACTGCTCCATGGAGACTTTGGGACCTGCCAGTGCAGAAGGGAGAGGTGTCCATGTGTAACCTTTCTGACAAGCAATTTTCCCCCAGAATAGGCCAATTTTGGTGAAATGAGAGCGCAACAGCCGACAGGGAGAGCTCTAACCTCCCCTGGCTAGGCTGAGAGTGGATCTCGGTCTCCCCTGTTGAAGCTTGTCCCACTTTCTAGCCCACGAAATGTTTGATTTTCAACATCAACAGTGAGCAACCGTGCAGGCTGTTCAGCGCACAGCTGGGATGCACGTGTCGAGGTAAAAACCTGGTTAGCCCTGCTGTGAGCTGGAAAAACTGAAACGACGACAGTTTTTACAGGCTTGGGAAATTATTGTAGGTGTCCATTCCTTTTTCTGTGGCAATTATGGGGTTTTTTTTTTTACTCCTTGGCTAAAGGAAACATCTAGCACAGCTTCTGTTCGCGAATGGCCTTGAGATGAATGAGCAAGTAGTACGGTTTTATATAAATAGGAACGGGTTTTTTTTTTACTCCTTGGATAAAGGAAACATCTAGCACAGCTTCTGTTCATGAATGGCCTTGAGATGAACGAGCAAGTAGTACGGTTTTATATAAATAGGAAGATGTTGCTGATGGGTAATGCACGTGTTGGGGTTATTCAGTTATGCATGCACAAACCCACTATTTTCTGCCTATACAACTGACTGCATTGGACTTTCCAACCCTGACGGGTATCACTTCCACAGCCTGGAGCTACAAGTGCAGGGCTCTGACCCAGAAGTGTTGC